ATGAATAGCCTTTAGGAAGCTTATAGAGTGCTGCTGGGGGCTGGGGGGGAAAAATGGCCCATTTTTTGCAAAAATGGGCCCATTTTTTGTTTAAAAAAGGGCATGGATAGCCTTTAGGAAGCTTATAGAGTGCTGCTGGGGGCTGGGGGGGAAAAATGGCCCATTTTTTGCTCATTTCTGCCCTCCCCAGCCCCCAGAAGCTCTCTGAAAGCCTTCTAAAAGCTACGCATGGCCATTTTGGTGAAGGGGCAGAGTTTCGGGAGACAAAAAATGCTTATTCAGTGTATAAGATGCACCCAGATTTTCAGCCCTCTTTTTTGAGGGAAAAAAGTGTGTCTTATTCTCTGAGAAATATGCTAATTACCAGGTTACTAATGAAATCTAAGGATAATCTTAAAATCGTTTCAAATGTTTAACTGTACAAATAATGTAGCTCAGCAGGCAAAGCAAATTAGTATGTCCACCAGCAGAGAATCAAGCACTATTTTCAAACAAAAAAAATCCTATGAACCATGCTACTTATTTACAAACAAAGGAATAGTGTCTAGAATGCATAATATTGACAACTCAGTTGAGGAGAGGAAGAGGTAAGATTCTGCAATATAAATATACATATGTGAGGAGGACTTGATGAGTAAGTTATTAGAACAATGTGAAATTAAAAAATGCTGCTCTACCTTATTCCAGGTGATATCCTTTGACATCTAACCTATTATGATATGACTTGGCAGCAGTTCTACAAGAATTCAAGCAGAGATTTTTCATATCACCAACTATCTATTCTTTTGTAGCACAGCTGGGTAAGACAAATTAGTTGTGCGAAAGGGGAGTAGGGGATAATTTTTGCCTTCTTGCCTGAATACATTTCCAAAATATAAATAACAACATGATCTTTGTTGTAGATCCAATATTTGGATACTTCATCTGGAAATCCAGTATCAGGAAAACAAATGGATATACTAAAAATAATATTTCTTCCTCTCTCCCTCTCCGTCTCTCAAGAGAAAGAAGAGAAAATAAATTCATATGAAGTTGATCAGGATATTTTGCTTACATTTATTTCTTTAGAGTACTATAGTCGCATCACCATATATAGTAAGTTATTCTTCCCTCTTTATTAAGATTATTCAAATATAAAGCAGCCCAGGGTCATCTTATCATGGAGATAGGTGGCATATAAATAAAATAATCCTCTTTCATATAACAGAATATTGGCCTTATTTTTTTTATCTATTTTACACATTTATTTTCGCTGTCGCCACAAAGCAATTCTGGGTGACTTATAAAATTAAAACAATAAACAATATGAATATATGTAACAGTAAAACAATAGGGAGGGAAGGGTCAAAGTGTGTAGGGAATGAGGTGGGATCTGCTATTAATCTATCAACTACTTCCAGCATGGCACTTGTCCATTGGGGGCCCAAGCCAACTGGCAAAGCCAGGTTTTCAGGCCCTTATGAAAGGTCAGGAGGGTAGGAACAAATCTTAGCAGGGTGTGTGGGGTTTTAAGATGTTCCAAAGGGCAAGAGCCTACATTGTAAAGTGTACATAAAACATAACAATATTTTATTTTATATCAACTTATATCACACACAGACAACCCAATTAGTATTTGACACATAATTCAGTTCCTATCACTGTAAGAATTTAACATGATGTACTGTACTGACAGTAACAGAGAAAGCCGAGAGTAAATCAAACCTTGTCTTACCAACTTTTTATAGTCACTAAATTCTGGTATCATATATCTAGGCATGCTATACTTGATTGCAAATCTAATTTAAATACTAAAAAATAAACAGGGTTCATGGTGGAGAACAAATCACACCTTTCCTAATTTCTACTCTAGAAGCATTTGACTGCTGAACTTGCCACCAGAGCTTTGTTTCCTAATTAACAGGACTGATATGTTTTCACCTTTAAAAGCCTTACAGCTCCCTAGAGTAATCAATCTACTGCAGCTCAATTACTGCACCAAGTGCATACTACAGCCAGTGAAGGAGACTCAAATAATTGCAGCCATGAGTAGAAAGATATGAATATGCATAAACTGTAAGTGGATGATCGAATCATCACAGAGAGTCATGAAAATATGCAGCAAAATAATGAGAAGAATTAATCACTACAGCTTCACAGGACATGTAGGCAGCAAGAAAATTTTCAGACATGCACTAGAACTCGGAAATAGATCTGATGACTCTATACTGATCTATAGTGTATAGAAATAATTGTTTTCAATATTAAAAAGGGGGTTCCAATTAAATTAACTATTATGAGGGCATAAATATTCGAATAATTTAAAACTACAGTCCAAACTTTAAATTTTCTCACAGTTGCAATCTCTTAAGAGATTTTCTATTTTCTAAAACAGAACAACTTTTTTATCAAAGCTCACACATATGCACATCATCAATCTGTTGCTTATTTAAAAATACAACGAATGGTGACAAATAGTCGACAGTCCACTAACATGGTTGTTCCAAAGGTGCTTTTTCAGAAGGCAACTGGACTTTCTTGTGGGTTTTTTTTTCTTTTGGAAGACGTTTCGCTTCTCATCAAAGAAGCTTCTTCAGCTCTGAAAGGATAGTGGAGAATGGAAGGATTTATATTCCTTGCAGACAGCTGGTCACTGACATCCTTTTAGAGGGTAGCTGAAGCACTTGGAGGTTTATCTGTGTCCTCAGGGTCACCTGAATAGTGCTCCTGGTTCCTGTAGTCTGCAATTTTTCCTCTGGAAATCCATTCCTACTCCCATGCCATTATCCGAAATTGTACAGCTAAAAGTCTGTAGATATTGTTAGTCATCGAGGTCATGGTTGTCCCAAAGGTACTTTTGCAACTGGACTGTTTTTTTCTTTTGAAGCCATTCTGCTTCTCATCCAAGAAGCTTCTTCAGTTCTGACAGGATAGTGGGGAATGGAAGGATTTATATTCCTTGCAATTGGAATGGATTTCCAGAGACAAAAACTGCAGACTACAGGAACTAGGAGCATCACTCCGGCAACCTGAGGACACAGATAAACCTCAAAGTGGTTCAACAACCCTCTAAAAGGATGCAGATGACCAGCTGTCTACAAGCAGTATAGGTCT